TGGAATGGGAAACAGTTCTTTCCAAAGAAATCAAAGCATCCTCGCTTGATTTCCATAGTTACCGAAAACCAGATGTATGTTGCCAGTCCTGTGAGACAACTTCCTTGTGTGGGTCATGAATGGTAAACTTCCTGGAGAAATCACTGAATGTAGGAAAAGAAGTGCTGCTGCTGCTGTCTGGGTGTCCTGATCCTCCTTTTATTCCTGCAACTTGGAGGAAGAAAATTAGCATAAAGGGTCTGGGGAGATAGCATGGGTGCCCTGCAAGCATGAGGGCCTAGGAGTCACATAAAAAGCAGCCCCACATAGTGGCTTGCACTTGTAGCCCGAGAGGAGATTGGGAGAATCCTTGGAGCTCACTGGCCAGCCAACCTAGCCAAATCAGTGAGTGCTAAAGCCAATGAGAAACCCTTATTTCCAAAATACGAGGTAGATGTCGCCTGAGGTGTGACACCTGAAGTGTTCTTCTGTCCTCTGAATGAAATTGCACGCCATTGTTGTGTGGCAAAACTTTTCCTACAGAGGTGAAAAACACTCTGTTACCCACCTGAGATAGGGAACCCACGGCAGACCACATATGGACACTACTAAACTCCAACTTAGTGAACCAATGAGCTCTATTGGGGCTACTTACAGAAATATGTATGATGGGTTATTTACAAAAGCAGAAATGACTCAAAGACAAAACTTTATCACCAAGATCCACCCCACCATGGGAGCCTGGAGCACACTGTGTAGCCTGTAGGCACCTCAACAGGTTGGAGAGTGTCCTTTTCAAGTGACTCTGGTCAACTGTCTTCTAGAAAGCTTGGTTGGTTTCTGCTTCTCTCAGGCAGCTGGTCTTGTTGGAGTCTTCTTTGCAGCAGACTCTGTTTACTCTGGCAGAGAAAGGCCTAGTGAATCTGGTCATGTTTATGAAATTCTTTTTTTTTTTTTAGGTTTTTCGAGACAGGGTTTCTCTGTGTAGTCCTGGCTGTCCTGGAACTCACTCTGTAGACCAGGCTGGCCTGGAACTCAGAAATCCTCCTGCCTCTGCCTCCCAAGTGCCGGGATTAAAGGCGTGCGCCACCACTGCTCGGCATTTATGAAATTCTAAATGCTTCTATTTTTTTAAATTTTAATTTTTATTGTTGTTGTTTACCTCCCTGGTTAAGGAACTTTCCTACATGATGGAATGTTTTAATCTCATAGAAGACTGTTACATAACAGCACTACCCCTGTACCCCTATGTACATCTGTGCTCATCTGTTATACAGAAACAGATACACAAAAAGACTGTATATACACACAGAAAGACAGGCAGACAGTCACACAGGGACACATAGACACACTGACACACACACATACATTAGACACACATACAAACACATACATATATACATACACACAGAGACACACAGACACACACACAGACATAGACACATAGGAACACATAAACACACACAGACAGACACACTGACACACCCACACATATACAGACACACAGACAGGCACACACATAGGTACACAAACATAGAGACAGACAGACACACACACACACAGACACACACAGACACACACAGACACACACAGACACACACAGACACACACAGACACACAGACACACACACATTTTAACCCCAACCTGGATGTCAATGAGACCAGTGTCTTGGTCTGGGATACTTCCCTTCTCTATATCCTGGTGATACTGTCTGTGAATTGCCTTTGAGAAAGCTGCATTGCAGAGCTCAATTGATTTAGTGAAATGCTATCCTAGCTAGGTTGGGTAGTCATGGCCTTGGAAAAAAGAAATAAAAAACGGTAGGAATATTCATTATAAAGCAGAAGTCTGGAAAGCTGCCCGTGCTCCGCAAAAACCTTCCCACCAAACAATTCAAATCCCTGTTCAGATTTGAGTGAGTAAAATTCCAAAAACAGTCTCTCTGTTTGAGCAGGGAAGAGAGAAGGTGCTGGGGAGAGAAAAGCATGGAAACAGGAGGGGGGGACCCACATTTTTAGCAGTGACCTAATTCTGCTAATAAGGAATTTACTTGTGAGGATTAGATAATTTATTAAATATTTAATCACAGACTTCTAAGCAACAAAGAAAAGATTGCTTCATGGGTGCATCTGACAGAATGTAGTACTAGCTGCTGTTTTCCTCTAACGGCTTGTGTGACCCTGTATAACACGTGTGAACACGCTCTGCCTTGCTCTCCTCCATATCTGTTGACCTGAGATAAAATATCAGAGGACTTTGAAACACAGTAAATGCTTTACCTGTTTGAGGTTTCATTATTATTTTCTCTTTTATATTTAGTCATTTTCTAGAAGAGAGGAGAGAAACGGTTTAAATGACTATTGAGACGCTAAAATTCAAATAAAAACAAGCCAAGGCCTGATGACTGTTAAGTAATTTTCTGTTAATTGAATCATTTTCCCCACTGATTTGCATAAAATATGACGATTGGTTTCCATGGGGGCAGGTGGCTTGCAACGAAGCAAAAATTACACTGAGAAGTGCAGAATGTCTTCAAGCAGTCCTGCAGAACTCCTAAATGGGTCAGGGGTGAATGTGAGACCTGACAGTGAACACATTGGTGTTTTGACGGAAGGGTGGGGCTTGGGCACTAGGACTTTTACCTCAACTTGGAGGAACTGGAATTTTTCTGTTTGCTGTGGGCCAGATTCTACGAATACAGGACCTGAGTAGATACCCAGAGTCAAGGTCTGCTAGGAGACTAGAAGCTACTGCCTGGATTCTAAAGATTAAGGCATGATCTGTTTGTCTAGTTATTATTATCTATCCTTTATTTGTGAGGTAGGCTTTTGCCATAGCCCAGTTCGTCCTTGAACTTCCTCTCATATATAGGTTGTCTTTGAATCTTTGATCCTCCTCCTGCATGCAGCCTTTAAAACTCTGAGATTGAAGGCATTTGCTACCATGCATAACAAGGAACAATGGATGCATCCAAAAGCATTAGGGTTACATAGGGCTTTTTGGGACAGCTGAAGGTCAGGGACAAGAAGCCCGGTGACCTAGCCTGAAGGAAGGCACAGTGGTTATCACATACTCTCAACATCTTTCTCTGCCTCCCCACTCTCTGTTTCTCAGAGGGCATCCCAGGCTGCCTTAGGAGACCTCCAAGGATCTGCTGTGTTTTATAGACTAACTGGCATCCACCTGCACTGCTCCTTCTGTGTGCCAGATTCTGATGAGGAATCATTCACAGACCAGGCTCACAGAGAATGAGCTTCTTGAAGTAAGAGCAGAGAATGAGACAGGTGCTGGATAGACTACCAAAGTGTCCAGCAAATTCTCTGTGTGCAGTTCCTGTGGTGGCATATCCAAGTTATCTCATGAACCCACTAGCTGTTTTGTTCTGTTTTGCTTTAGCCCAACCTTCAAGCACAGATGATGAAATTTAGGCTTATAGAAATTAAATAATTGGCCCAAAGTTTATAACCAAGGTTTATTCATTTGGATCGGAATTCTGTTCTATATAAGGAAAGTTCTCATCTATTTCAGTATTTCACATATCTAAGACAACAATTCAAACATTGGCAGTATCAGAGTCACCTAGGAAAAGCAACTCTTGGAATTGAGTAGGTATTGAGATGCTGTTTTTCAGCAGATTCCCTGGTGATGCTGAGACTTTAAAGCCCTAGAGCAGTGGGGTAACCCTTATCCACAGGTGTTGGCATACAGCCAGGCAGGGTCTATAAAACTTGCAAATATTTCCTGCCCTTGAAGATGTTTAATAGAGTAGTACAGATATTATACATTTCTCTTTTCTCTTTTCCTCTCTCCCTCTCTGTGTATGAGAGACTTTCTGTATAATGTAGGTATATGCTGTCAGTGTGGATGGGCTCATTTTTCTGAGTATCATCATGGAAAAAGCTTAAAGAAAAGTAGTAGGGCTATGCATGGTTTTCTGTTGTAGTAATAATTTGGGGGTTTCCACCTTGCCTTTGATTATTTAGTTCCCAGATAAAAGATACAAAACCTTTATATTTATAATAAGCCTTAATAGCACTAGATCTGGGTAGATATCAACCCTCTAAGGTATTTTGTCTATTTCCCTGTCAATAACCCTGAGATATGACTTGCTATGTTTTTCCTGGGCCGTTCTTACTCTGATTGGCCAGTCTTCATGGCCAGTTCTCATGCTCCCTTACCCCATGACATCTTCTCTTCTCTCATTGCTCTCCTCATGGTCTCTGCTTAGATCCCAAGTCCCGGAAACCAAAGCCCTACTTACCTCTCTTCTGCCAGATGCTGTAGGCATCTTTATTCAACCAATAGTTTTAAATTAAGGAGCAAGGTTATATAGCATCACTTGGTGTACGTGAGGATCTCCTCATCCCTGAGGCAAATAGATCTTGGGAGCCAGTATTTATCATACAGTATATAGCAACAGACCAAACTTCAACAATTTCCTTTTTTTGTCCAAATAAAAAGACTCTTTCTCTTACAACAATAAGCAACATACAGTAGAAGCAATTATGAAACAATTATGAAAGTTATTAGGTAAGAATTACATATCTTGTATGTTTGTATTTGACACCTCAGGAGAAAGTGTTTCATTATGTATCCTATCTTGGTGAGTTTAGAGTTCTACATCTAAATCAATTTTTTATCATAATGAGCATTATTAACCTAAACACATCTTATAAGACCTAAAAAATATCTTCTTAAATCTTAAACATTTTAAGCTTAATTATAAGACTATAACTATCTAGTCTTCAACCTCATCAGAGACTCAAGAAAGACTAAATATTGCCTGAGTATGTAGAAAGTGCAGGCATACAGCTTTCAAAAATTATAGAAATTACAAAGACAGCTGACTTCCTGGACAGTCCCCAATGTCTACTGTAATGTTGGAACATCTATCTTTAGCCTTCTAGCCCAGAATATCAGACAGACCTTTTGTGAAGCAGGAATATGAAGGACTTGCTTACCTTGTCTAGGCAGAGCTTAGCAGTGGATTTTCCTGTATCCATTTGTCTTTTTGGTCAGCATTCTGTCTGCAGATGAAGGTAGGGCATTTTCTTTGCTCAGTGGCTAGCTTGTCATCAGTGAAGTAACTCCAAATGCTGGGTTTTGATACTCATCATCTTCTTTCAAATTGAGTGGGGTACTGTCAGGAGTTGACATGTTTCAATGTCAAAAAAGTTTTTAAATTATTAAAATCATTTTAAATGCCCTATTTGCAAGTGTCTAAGGATTTTGAAGACTATCTATTTACAGTATATGTGAACAAGCAAGCATTGCTTGCTTTTAGCATTTATCTGTTCAACCTAGGATGTACATTTCTATGATAGCCTAGGCTAGTATTTAACAAGTCCATGAGTTTGATTGACTGACTATTAACTTGCATTGCATAATTGTCCTAAACAGTTTGTAATGGCAGCTATTAAAAGGACTTCAATTAAACACTGTATTTTTAAATGAGTAGTATTCATGACACCTATATGAGTGGAAACATACATACATTATATTGTAACAAAATTAATCTAAGTTTTGTATCAATATGCAAAGATTCTTACCAATGAAACTTTAAATTTTTAACAATATCTAACATTTTGTACCAATGTGACAAAAATAGCTTTATTTGAGAATAGCAAGAGCTGGAAATTGAAAAGTAGATTCAATAATCTATCCTTTTATTCCTGAAGTGATGAGATAGTATATCGTTAATGTGTGCTAATTGCCATGCAATTTCTATGGAATTAAATTATACACATTCAATGAATAAACAAATAACTCACCAGGAGTAATGTTAGTTCTAGGAATGCTGTGGTAAAATGTGGGCTACTTACTTATCAAATATTGATTTAAAAAACCTCAAAATGAAATAATAAATAAATAAATCATCAACCCCAAATTTTTAGTTCAGTCACATTGCTTTTCTTTTCACTGTCGTCCTTTCATGACTCATTCCTCCTTAGTCTTCGAGATAGAGCCTGAATGATCTTGATCATCTTCAGCAAAACTTAGAATGGTTTCTCACAGCCCCTTCTGTCTTGGCACTTTGTCTGAAATTGTGTACATATATGTGGTCTCCAAATGCTAGAAAGTCCTTGAGAAAATATCTGGGGCCTTCATATTCATGACCATTATCCCATGCCAGAGATTAGTAGCTGGTGACTTGATGAATTCACACTGCCTCAGATAAACATACTGCCTGCCCATTTTAAGATCTCATGGACAGTGTGAAGGCTCGGGTGAGTTGGTTGGTGTGCTTAGAGTGCAGAATCTGAAGATGCATGCATTGACAGCCTTGTTAGACAAAGAATTAGAGAAAACATCAGACACTCCATCTACATACACTGACTAAGAGATTTTTATTGGCAGGTAGGCTTTAAAAATTGAATAGTCATTATTTCTAGGAACTGCCATTGCATTATCTAGAACCTTGAATATTCAAGGTCACAGTATTGTTTATTCATTGCTCCCAGGTGTGCTGAATGTCTGTCTGTCACATGCCAAGCACTAAGCTAGCTGCTGGAGACATAGATGTAGACAAAAATTATCTCAGCCACATCTTGGCTTCCTACAAGTCTTGAAACATCACTATTGGAGCTAGAGAATCATCAAGGGCTGTATATCTATAGTTATGAATCTAAGAAGTTTGGAAAAGTTATTTTCTATAAGGAGTACAGAGATTAACCATTGTATTAAGTTGGAGATGAGCTATGGCAGAGAGGTTGAACAGATATGTGAGGAAGAGGAGGAGGCCTGTGATGGCTTGGACCCAGGAAGCCATGTTTTTGGTGGCTTGCCCAATTCCTGCCACCTAGCCCAGCTGGTTGGAGTCATACACCTGTGTTTTCCTTTCTTTTCCTTTCCTTTCCTTTCCTTTCCTTTCCTTTCCTTTCCTTTCCTTTCCTTTCCTTTCCTTTCCTTTCCTTTCCTTTCCTTTTCTTTTCTTTCCTTTCCTTTCTTTCCTTTCCCTTTTCTTTCCTCTTTTCTTTCTTTCTTTTTTAAAAAAAGATTTATGTATTTATTTATTTTAATGAGTACACTGTAGCTGTCTTCAGACACATCAGAAGGCATTGGATCACATTACAGATGGTTGTGAGCCATCATGTGGTTGATGGGAATTGAACTCAGGACCTCTGGAAGAGCAGTCAGTGCTCCTAACTGCTGAGCCATCTCTCCAGCCCCCTGTCTTTCTTCCTTTCTTCCTTTCTTTCTTCCTCTCTCTCTCTCTCTCTCTCTCTCTCTCTGTCTGTCTCTCTGTCCCTCCCTCCCTCCCTCCCTCCCTCCCTCCCTCCCTCCCTCCCTCCCTTCCTTCCTTCCTTTCTTGCTTCCCCCTCCTCTTCCTGCTCCCCCTCCTTCTCCTCCTTCTCCTTCTTCTACTTCTTCTTCTTTAAAAAAGAGATATAGCCAATATCAATGCAAGCTTCTCTCTAGAGCTGCCTGGAGATTATTTATCTGTTGAATGGCTTTTTCCCCCTTGAGAGAGTATGAACAAGCACTTATTCACCTCACATAGGAAACCAACAACAGACTCCAGAAACAATTCCATTCAAGTCTATCTCAGCAAACAAGTAAGTTGACTGGGGTCACTTACAGAAGCTTGAATGACTTGTACAACAGAGTCATTGTAAAGACCAATGGTGAAGGCTCATGGAAGATGCACTCCTGGGAGCAAGCTCATCTTGGAGGAAGCTCATCTTCCCCAGAAGCTGTCTACTGCTTTTATAGTCTTGCAGAGAGATCTCCTGAGTCTTATTAGTTTCTTGTGAGATTTGTAGGTGCCCTACTCTTCAAGCCTCTACATTTCAACCCAGGGGAAATAGCTCCTTAACAGCATCCTTCCCATGAGTGATTTTGTCCTATTGGATAGGCAGCTAATGCCCAATGATCAATGCTTCTTCTCAGCTCTTTGGTGCCCTTTTGGTCTAGGGCTTCTTGTGGGTTCAGGGAGTCAGCTAAGATGGCGCTGGGCTGAGATTAGTTCTTCCCCTTTTTATCTCTTCCTTTTCATTCAAGAGCAGAGACCTGGCAGCCCCTATCCACAAGAACCTATCTCGTGCTCTGTTTGTAGGACTTAGGCTTGAGATAAGCTAGGAGAGCTACGGTGCTGTTACTATAAACACCATGGCATTGAGGGCTTTCTGTACATTCTCCAATTCTTCTCCAACCTTGAGATGTGTCACTCCTAATTTGCCAGCTAGGAAGCTGAAGGCTAGAAAGATCTAAGGAACTTTGCTTGTACAATCAACTGCTAACCTGGGGTCAAACTGGCTCAGCTTTCAGTTCATTCCATGGCCTTCTATCCCTGTACGTCAGACATTTCTTTGTCAACTGGAAACCATGAGAAATAATGTCATCTGTGATTTCTTTCTGTCACTGTGGAGCTCTAGATTCAGTGGGGATGGAGAGAAAGAAGCCCCATCTCACAGTGTGAGATGTGCTTTTGAGGGTTGTGACCATGAGCTAGGAGTCATGCAGTGCTGGACAGGACTGTTTTGGCTTTCTGTTTTATATGACAGATTGGGAAAGATGTGGCCAGAGAGGGCAAGAGAAAGAAGAAAACAAAGGAGATTGGTGCTTGGTACAGTAGAGAAGACATTCATATATATAGAAAGAGCTGGGTCCTGGATGGGAATAAAGTGAGTGTTCTCATTATAGCTAGTCCTGCTGTCAGGTACTGTACTTGTTTTAGAAATGATGGAATAAAAACAGACACAAGAGTCAAAGTCGACACTGAATGGCGGTGGGCATTGGCCCAGTATGGCTTCAGGTAGAAGATACCTCTGATAAGGTCTCTAAATCCAGCAGCAGGCATGAGATATGGCCCTGGTACTGATCACAGTGAACGAATGAGCAGCTTCTGCCTCCTGTGGCTGAAAGGTTTTACTAAGGCAGCTGCTAAAACTGTTCTGCACAGAGCTGCCTCTGAAAACTGGGTCAGCAGGTCAATTGGGCCTTTTATATGCCAACCAGGCTGCCTGTACTTATGTCTAGGGTCAGATCTGGGACAGAAAAAGACTCAGGCAAAAGAAATCCATTTAGAACTTCCCTGTGTAGATTCTGATTCTGTGGAGGAGCTGTTCATTATTTATAGACGGCACAATTGTGTTTTGCACAGTAACCTTATTTGGGCATCTGAACAAGCAAAGGCTAAGAGGGGAGAACAAAAATGCCTTGATTTTTTTCCCCTCCTCAAATGAAAGGTAGCTAGAGTGACTTTATATTTATGGGTTCCTGGCTGGTTGTGGTTCAGACATCAGGAGTTAGAATGGATTTAATCCTCTAATCTATAGTAATGGGGGCATTGAGAGCATCGTTTTTTTTCCCCTCTAAATTCATCTTTTTGATGTTCTTAATAAGTTTCATTGTATCCTGGCATGGGGTATAATAATGATATTTAGCATGTATTAAATGCTTATTGTGATTGGGTTAGGCACTGTGCTGAAGTACATGTGTCTTATTCAGTCTTTAATGTAGAGCTATGGGATGATGTATATCCAACTCCCATTTTATAGAGGAGAAAGTTGAGGCACAGAGGAGTGCACTGACTGGATGAAGTGAATCCTATTGCCTCAGCCAAGTCTTTTTTGTACTAGATTTCTACTTTATGCAACTGCCCAAGCTACAGTTACCCAGGAAGGCTACACTCAAATTCCTGTCTTATGATACTGAGCTAATTTGAAAGTGATGGTTTTGGCCACTTCTGAGTAAATGTATTAAGCAGTGATTAATATAAGTGAGATGCTTTAGGTGGAAATGTTGGGTGGAGATGATGAAGACAGCAATCTGGAAAGGCTACTGAGCTGTGTCTTCAAGAATGGGTAAGAACAGAAGCAAATGAGGCACACACATACAGACACACACACATGCACACACACAGAGACACACATACAGAGGCACAGAGACAGGGAGACACACACAGACACACACACACACAGAGAGAGAGAGAGAGAGAGAGAGAGAGAGAGAGAGAGAGAGACAGACAGACAGACAGAGAGAGAGACACAGAGAGAGAGAGACAGAGAGAGACAGAGAGACAGAGAGAGAGACAGAGAGAGACAGAGAGAGAGACAGAGAGACACAGAGACACACACAGAGAGACACAGAGACAGAGAGACACACACAGAGACAGAGACACACACAGAGAAACACAGAGACACACACAGAGAGAGAGAGAGAGAGAGAGAGAGAGAGAGAGAGAGAGAGAGAGGAAGAAGAAGAAGAAGAAGAAGAAGAAGAAGAAGAAGAAGAAGAAGAAGAAGACAAAGAAGAAGGAGACTTTCTAGGCCAAAGGAATACTATATATGAATATTTGGAGACTACTCAGCTGGGGATAGAAAATTCAGTGCTTATTGGGCCAGGTAAGCAATGAAGTCAGTGAAGTAGATGTGTCCCAATGGGGCTGCTGTAAGTGTTGCTATGGCCACACACTTATGCAGAAGAAGACTCACTCACTCTGGAAATGAGAAAACAGAAATTGGAAAAGGAAAATGATTTGATTAATAGTTTGGTCAAATAAAAGCAAGGGTTGGAGTTTACGTTGTTTTCTACCATGCCTGTGGCCATCTTACAAAGGCTATGTCATATGTAAATTTAACTGGGAGACAAGTTAACTCACCCTTAGGTCCTTTCTTGTGGGTGATGCAAACACAGGGCCAGGCTAAGTCTGTGACAGAGGCAGTTTTCTGTTCTAGACTAGAGGAGGGAAATGGAGTATTAAAGATAGTCCATATTTTAAAAATTATTTATTTTGTTATTGATTTATATGTATGTGTGTGTATGTGTATGCCTGTGTACATGCATGGGGGTACTCACTGAGGCTGGAAGAGGATATCAGATGCCCTGGAGGTGGTTGTGAACTGCCTGACATGGATGCTGGGAACTGAACCCCCGATCTTCTGAAAGAGTCCAAAGTGTTCTTAACCACTGAGCTACCTCTCCAGCTCAGGGACCCTCTATTTATGAATGAGAATTGTAACATTTTTGCACTTAGGAGTTCTCCAATCTTTGATAGGTGCAAGGTAGAAGCCCTAGAAACTCTTTCTTTGGAAGTCAGCTTCCTCTTCTGCTTCTGCACATCTATTACACACATGGATTCTGAAAGTGAAGAACGGTGATCATCAGGCAGCCAAAGGGAGCATTTTTCCTTAGAACATCTCTGTACCCACCTGGATGTTGGCATAGGGTCACCATGACAGTGCAGCCAGTGAGACGTGGAGACTCAGGTCCCTGTGAATGGAAGGAAGCAGATTGCCATTCCTCAGTTCTGGCTATATTTGCTCCATGCCTAGGTAAAGTCTCCATTTGCCTCACCTTTCAACATGTCAAGAGAATTTAGACATTGCTTTAAATTTAAAAACCAATTTTCAAAAGGCAGCTGATCCAAACTGCTTAGTGAGAAACAGTCCCCACCTTTCCACATCTTCTGAAAGCCTCCATGAGTCAGCTGCTAGAGGCTTTGACTGTCTATCCTATTTGTACCAATTACAGACCTTTGTCCCCTGCTATCTGGTAAGCCTGAATACCATGGGGTTGGTGCAATGATTAACTAACCCAATGGCTTTCTAAATGGCAGTGCCTACTCACCAAGCAGCCACACTGAGAGGAGGAAGCCAATTTAAGGACATATGAGGAACTACACAGGAACTAAGCCAAGCCACCTGCAGCTCAAGGTTGTCATGGAAAAGGTGTCAGAGCAGAGCTGCAGAAGGTAAGAAACCTGATAGTTTCTTCACATCGAGTCCCATGTGTCCCTCTCAAGTCACAAAGCTAAGTTGTTTGGGCTCATTTGCCAAGTTTTAAGAACCTAGCATCTGTGGAAGTGGCCACTGAGTTCACAGAGCCATTTCTATATATCATGCCTGGAGGGTGCAGGTGGGGGGGGTGTATTTAAATCTCCATAGCAGCTCTAAGAGATTAGGCTTATTATGGTTGAGTCCTAGGGTCATTGAAGACCTTGCTCAATGCCTTGAATCCAATAGTGGGCAGGGCAGGGGCCTTTCCTAGGCTCGTTGAAAGCATACATTTCCCCATGTTCCTTGCGATTTTTCCTCCTGGAAATTAATGGAGGAAACAGTGAGGGGTCTCTGAGTTTTCTTTCAGGGTGGAATCCAGTGGTGGCAAGTGGACAGGTGACTGGTGTTGAGGAAGACATGTTTAGACAGCAAGCAGAAGTTGGCTTGCTTTTTTCACTTAGAACAAAATGTCTTCTTTCCTGTTGTCATTGTTGAGAGACACTTAGGTTTGAACAGAGTTTGATGCATGAACCATGTATCTATCAAATATGCTGAGTTCTACTCACGTGACGTCTCATTCAACAATTATTTCCGTCAGACCACGTGCTTTGATGTATGGCAGGGAGAGCATTAAGTAGTGGAGAAACTCTGTGTGTTAGAACCTGGAAAATGTGGCTTTCAATTCTGATCTGGACACTGAAGAACATCCCTGGATGCCTCATGAGGTCTGTCTGGGTATTCATCTAGGTGACACAAGGTCAGAATTACTAAAACCTAGAGTCCCTAGTGCTCTGGGCAGAGGCTGGGACATGGTAAATGCTCAATAAAGCCTCCTTGTGTTCATAAATGAATGGGTGACTTGGCTGGAGAATGATACTTGGTCCTGAAGTATCTCTGTAGGATTTAATATGTCTAAAGGAGGAAAGAGTTCTAGGGGAAATTGAGACAGACAACAGTGCGGTGACGAGGATTCCAGGCTTAGGAGACAAGGAAAGGACAGAGGGGAGGAGGCTGGGAGAAGTCTGGAAGCTGGGAGGGCCCAGGGGACCAGAGTGACTTCCTTGTCCTGATTAAATTTCTTAGAGCCCAATGCCTTGCTGGGTGCTGACACCCTTTTATCAGGTTCTTTAATCTCACATCTCAAAACACTGCAAGTGTTAATTAACCCTCTTCACTCCTAGTGAGTCAAATATCATCTATCTGCCTTTCCCCGATGAGGAACTCCAGACACACCAGGTGATTTTCTAGGGCAATGCCCAGGTGGGTGCCAATTTCCACCCTAGCTCGGAATTACCAGTCTTAGGAGGAAGCAGAAAGCACGCTTGCATTCTTTCCTTTCACCTCTCTGAAAACCTCTCATATACAGGAAGCCAAGACCTGTTATGACCCTGAAAATCATTATAAATATTTCTCAGGGTTATTTGTATGGTTTACACTTGTATTCTCAAGCACACACATCTCCTTGTGGGTTTTGAGATTTGGGGTTCTCTTCATGGTGTTGTGAAGAATTAGTGAGTCAACCTGTACCTGAGTGTTCATCAAAGGGCCAGCACCTGAGAAGTCAGGTGACGATTCCAGTGGGGACGGAAGGAACCCTGTGATCTTCTCGATTCCTCAGACATTTTTTTCTTCCGTGTCTTCCTGTGTTTTCTTTTGTGGGATAAATATTTATTTTATTCCAGGTTCAATTTTTGGGGGAACTAGACACAACAGAGGCAAGGCTTTGAACTCAAGTTCTGTTTTGTGTTTCAGCCCAGGCAAGGTACCACACTGTAAGAACAAAATGTCATGCTGTAATGCTCCCATTGAAGAGACTTCTAGAAGCTGCAAGTCTGTGATGCTCTGCGCTACATCAAGGAAGAGACTTCTCCAAGTCAATGAGGGATCCTGGGGCTGATACTCTAGCTAGGATTGGGAGGGAGAGAGAAAGCAAGTGGTCAGAGTGGATAATAGATAGAGTAACAGTGTAGGAGCAGCCCAAACTGAAGAGAGGTAAGGAGGTTCATTCAAATGGTGAGGGGAAGAAGTCAACTTGGGTAGAAAGTGTGTGATAGGAAAAACACGGGGATGCTGAAGGATCCAAAGTTTAAGTTGGGTTGGAGTTATGAGTAGGTTGGTGGAGGGAAGACGTGGGACGTAGATTAACTAAAATGAAGGATATTGGAGAAAGCCATTTGGAAACCCACTATTTTGTTAGTTAATTTAAAAAAAAATTAAGTAAGGCCTGAAGTGATGGCTCAGCAGTTAGAAGCATGTTCTGCTCTTGCAGAGGACCCAAGTTTGATATCAGCACCCAACTTGTGTGGCTTATAACTGTCTCTACCTCCAGACACAGGAATTCTGACAGCTCTAGCCTTGGTGGGCACCTGTGCTTCATATGTGCATACCTAAACCAACACATATAATTCAAAGTTATAAATATATTTAGAAATATGTAATTAAGAAAAAAAAATGGAGTAGGAAGGAGGGACCCTGCATATATGGACAATATTGCTCCCACTAGACATAGGGCATTAAACAAAAACTTCAGTGCCAGTCATGGAATACCTTCCTATGAGTTGCCAGTCAGGAGGATCGAAGAGGCCCATAAAACAACACAGGCTATTGCCATGTCTCTTGATTTCCCACCAGAACAAGATGGCAAGAAACTGTTGTTTGAAGGCATCACACAGTTTTGTTGTAAGACATAGAGAAATTAACTTCAAGCTGACCAGGACACATCCTTCCTACCAGCTAGCTTTCATAGTGCCAGAAAATGCTATATAAGCAGCTGAGGGAGAAACCGCATCATTGATTTTATCCAGCACAATAATTAGCTTCCAGGCAGGATTTGCCCATTGGTGCAATAATTGTATAACTGGTATAGGGGTAGTAAATCTCTCTCTCTCTCTCTCTCTCTCTCTCTCTCTCTATCTATCTAT